CCATTCTTTGCCTGATAAAATATGTATAGGCAGTGAGGGGGAAAGCCTCATCAGCTTACTCTTTTCATTTCAAGAATAGCTATATGATTTAGCATTTACATCATTGCAATTCAGGGCTTCTTGAAAAAAAGTGACAGAGATATTCCTTGAAAAATTTTTAAGGTTACCTTTATGCCCTATGTGAAAAATAATGATCCATTGGTGCACTGCCATTTCACATCTCCTGTCTGTGTAGCTGTTGTAGCTGCTAATCTGTTAATCTGTATTGACCAACAACTTCCTAAAGCATTTCCCCACCTTGTGCAAGGAAATCTTCAAAACTCAACATTCCTATTTACTTGAAAATCCCAGCATAAATTACCTGTTCTGATTATTTTGACTATAGAGTTCTTTTACTGTCCTAAGGTTAGTTATTCCTATTAAAACATACTCTCAATAAATTCTTAACAATTTAAAACATCCTTCCACCCTCTTCTTCTCAATTACATTCCTTTCTCACTATGGCTCAAAACTAAAAGTGATTCAGAACTTGATAAGCAAAGGAAACAGAGGTCTCCCCACCCATCTTTGAGCTGTGCACATCCCTGATAGGAAACTGCACTACAAATTAAAGCTTAAGGTAAGAAAGGAAGATGGACTTCTGCCAAGGTTCAGATTTTTCACAATTTTTCACCAGATCAAATTCCCAGAGGTATTCATGAAAATCACAGCCAACATTCTTCCATTGCTAGAACTTCCTCTAGTTCCATATGTGGCGTTTGCAGTATTCAGTGGCCTACAGGAAAAGGAGAGAACAGTTCATATCACAGCTGACCATAAAAAAAAGGTTGAGAATCTGGAGACACAGCGAGGACCTGAACTTCAAGAGGCAGTTGTCAACTTGTCACAGTCTTTTAATCCATTTTAAATAAAAGCCGAAGGTGCTTGGGAGTAGACTACTCCAATCAGATTCACTTGGAAGTGGAATGAATGGGATTTATGCAGACTTCAGTGAGGTGTCATCCAGACCTAAGCCTTTCCTACCAAAATAGTTGCTTCAAACAATTGCGACAGACCTGAAATTGTAAATATATCACATTCCCCTCCCATCTCTTGTCCTTGTCACTTTTGATATGCATATGAATATCCTTTCAAATAAGATCTCTTTTCTTTTCAAATAAGGGAATTAGGTCATATGCAAAAAATGAGTTTGCAGTTTGGCCTCTTCTAATGAAAGAACTAGGAAAGCTATTTTGGATGGATAGAAAGATTCTGTGCTTTCAACAGTGATCCCATATTAGTGGATCCACAGGATTGTGCGTCAGGAAAAAGTGACAGTTTAAGAAGATATTATTAGTCCAGAAACCCTTTCCACAAATGAATTTTGCTTGCAAACTTAAAAAAACAAAACAAAACTATTTTTGTGACTTTGTTCTCCCTGTTTTTCTTTCTTTATTCCCTCCTTGGGTTTGGTTTATATCTGACATTGGACTATTTGCTGCTGTTTCTCCTTGCAGCAGTGTGTGGCTAAAGTAAGGAAAGCATTAGTTTATAAAGAAGAAAAAAAGAAAAAATCCAAATTTTTATCAGTCAAGACAATTGCCTTCTTTTCTATCTGAAATCTGTGCTGGAAATGGAGCTTATTTTTTTTAACTGGAACAAGTTTCTTTTTTTCTTTTTTTTTTTGGCTAACTTCAACATTTTTCACTGTAGATTTAATTGTCTTTTCCTTTTCCTCCTCCTCCTCCTCCTCCT